TGCCCATTATCGATGTGGTCTACACCGGTCATCGTCCCTGCGGATCGCGGTTGGACCTTCCCTGTGTCGCCGATCTGGATTGGGCAATCTGATCTAGACTTTAAGTAGGACTAAATGACATGCAGATCGCAATCGGATTATCCAAAAGAAAATTGCGATCGACTAATCTGGAAGTACATTGCGATCAGTTGCTTTGGATTTCGACTTGCAAATGTGGTGGAGTGGTGATCACACATTCCTTGTGATCGTGACTCTCCACTGGCGCCCGGACGACCGATTTATGGAGGGGGTTACCCGATTCCGTGCTCTGTGTCTTCTTGCTCACCTTGTGTACCCGTCGGTGGGGCGGGTTGCGCTCTTCTTGGTGGACTTGAGCTGAAGCTGAACTTGACCGTCTTAGGGATAGGTGTTGATCGGGTGCAAATGCTTCACCCGGTCAAACGTAGGTGCGGATCGTGTGAAAGTTCTTTACTCGATCGCTTGTGACTCGGGCGCTCTCCCAGAGTCGCCTTTGACAGGGGTGATGCTTGATACGCGATCCTTCTGACCACTTGAGCCGTCTCGCGATCTTGTATCTGAACCGTAAGGTTCACTGCGTCCTATCGCAGTTGAGGGAAGGGTGAGAGTTGACGTTCCACCTGGCCAAACATTCCAAGGGAAAAGTTCGCAGAGACGTGGGTGACTCTCTATTCACCGGGAGGCCAAAGGTTCTGCCCGGCAGAAGTCGACGCGTAAAATCCAATTATGTTTACTGTCAACCAACCAAATTTAAACCCTATCATTATGCCTATCTTTTCGATAGGTCAACTGTTGTGCACCGCCTGTCTATGCCATATCTTACCTCATGTGGTCCACAGCATATACTCCGTAGTGGATCGCTCCACAGCGGATCGCTCCGTAGTGGATCGCTCCACAGCGGATCGCTCCACAGTGGATCGCGGTACAGTGGATCGCGGTGCAGTGGATCGCGGTTCATAATCTACACCCATTATGTGATCCACACCACCCAGCGGTATCCAGGATAGAAGGTGGATCAACCTGCGCGACTTGGACAGTCTTTTCTCTTCAATCAGTCGTTTGGTCACCTTACTCGTCCCAACAGGCCCATCTCCGTACGCGCTCCACCAATCAAACTGGCGTCGCACTTTAGGTGGATCGCGCGATCCACACTTTCGTCATTCTTCCTTCGCGCTTATCCACACAAAAATTTGGCCAACCATACTCCGTCATTGACCACATCAACGATTATTGAATGACCATGGCCAAGCATATAGTGCTAACTTGGGTTCGCCGATCATTCATGTTATGATGAACACCGCGATAGGGTTGAACCTGATCAATGGGCTGCTATCGACGCGAAACTGATCGACATCATCGCAATGGGGTAAGGACCTGGTACACATCGATTGGTCCTTCGGTCAAAGTTACTGTACGATTAAAAAAACTGTGATCTGCAGTTAGCACGTGATCCGCATCACCCTAATTCTCAGCTAGGATACTCTCTATCGTAGGCAGTAATCTCCTGATAAGATCGTTGCAGATTCCTACCGTACCACATTGGCCCACCTTCGATGTTTTGTGAATAGCCAAGTAAACGATATGTACTTCTGACCAATGGTTCCTTTTTCATCTTCATATCGCTCATCATCGAAATAAAACGAAGTGGGCTTACTGTATGACTATCGCTAGCCAAATTCTTGATCAACTTCTCCTCATCCTCCCTACCCTAATAATCGTCGTACAGGCTAGTGTACCCCTGCATCCCGTATATTATTATGTGATACGACATTTATATGTTCGTATCACATGTTCGTGTCGGCCCCCCTTGCAAGGAAGACGTTTTTATCGGCACATCGAAACCGCTTACGATCACGACGCTTATCCGATACGATAAGGGGTCAGGTACCCCACCGCATTCTGATGCTTACAAGAATATACACAACCCAATGCACTTCTTACGCATTGTACTCACATTATATAAGCGTGACCGTCAAGGTGCTACAAACTGGCCGACGCCAGACCGCCGATCGTGAATTTTGAGTGATCCATTGTCTCGGATCTAGATTCATCTGTTGGAAGCGCAAGTTGCGCTTGAATCGACTCCAGAGACTAATTCTACGTTAGAACATTATGGAATGTTCTATAGGCTTCTATGTGTTGTAGTAGGCACCACAAATATAAAGGTTGGGTAGTTCCTACTTTTATTTTGACAAGCCACTGACGAGGCCCTTGGCGGGGGACCGAAACGCGTCTGGCGCGCGTTTATGATCATTTATTTTACCTTATGTTTACTTCTAACACCATCGGTCGCAAGATCTGCAGATCGCTCATCTTGCTCCGAGCAGTAAAGTAAGTGTTCTCTTGATGCTGCGATTGAGATGATCCAAAGACCATGTCCCGCCCTCGTAATGATTGCTTTGAGAATCAACAAGACGTTGTGGACCACAATATATTATTTTAAGCACCCTTGAGTGAGCAGGAAGCCCGCGAGATCGACTGGAACTAAATTTGCAGCCTTGGCACAAGTCGGCCTCTCCGTGTGTCCTGTTCGCTATCGATGCACAACGCTTACTCGTGAATGCGAAGAGACGATCTTTCAAGCCGACGAATTTTGAAGGAGTCAAAAAGTGTGACGTTCTTCATTACCGAAAGAGAAAACTGCTTGCCATGCGAATCGAACAAAACTTTAAAGTCAGTGATCGCCGTTACGAAAGGAATTGACCATAGCAATAGAATTAGCGAGAGCCGAAGACGGGTACAAAGATCGTTGAGCTAGAATTGACAGATAAACAAGAACGATCTTGTCATTCATGGACCGGCGAAATTTGCGTTGTACTAGACATATACTCGATGCGCTACAGACGAAGCACGATCAGCTGCTGAAGGATTTTGACCTTCTAGCCCCGATCACTATCATTTGGCAATCATGTTGCACGATATAAAAACGGAGCGCGATCTAGCTGTTTTTGTATCGTGACTTCCTTTGTACTCGTTTGTCCAATTTAGTACCGACACCCTCCGGCTCCTTCGCCTCCGACTATATCAGCGAGCGCACCTATGAATACTCCGATTGCGCCTGAAAAGGCAACATCCAGTACACCTTTGATCACTCAGATTTGCCTGCAGTGACACCACCCATTATCCTCGCAGGATAATAACGTCTTCAGGCCTAGCGCTTTCAGTAAACTTGATCGTACTAAACGTATAACTCCAACAAGAACTTGATCAACCAACCTAGTCGCGCAGGGATCAAGTCGCCGGTATCCGTTGCATAAAACCGAATCTGTCGCGCTGTATCCCAATCAACGATGTTCACGCGATCGGCCACATCTGCTCTACGATGACGATGAGGGTGGCCTAGCGGATTGCACCTCGAACCATTCTGTCTATTCTTTTTTGGGTTCTTTGTCGTCCTCTCGGTCAACTTCCGACGTCAGACAGAGATTTACTTGAGAAAGTCCCGGAAAAGCCCGACTTCATCTTTCGAAATCGATCGACGCTCTTACGCCGATCGCACCGCCGCGCCGGGTACTGTCAAGAGATGACGACGAGGGCTTTGTTTGGGGAGCCTATAATAGATTACAACGGTATGCTTAGCACGGTAAGTGATATCTTTAGTCTGCAACAGAAATGGAAATGTTATAGAGGCGTACGCAGCTCTTCCCATCACCGGGTTTTACTCGCGGTACACGGATCCCCAAAACCGCAACCGCGTTTCTCGATCGTCTTTCGCGATGCTTCCTCAATCGGCTCGCCAGTTCAGTCCAACCAACATGTTGAACAGGATTTATATCTCTCCTTCGCCATTTTCTTCAAAAGGTTTTCTTTTCCTGCCCAGCAAAGTAAACTTTGCTCGCCTCCGATTCCTATTTTGGTCTCTCTGCTGATCACGAGGCCAAGACCGATGTGCTATACGATCATAAACGATGGGAGATATACGATTGGCGAGTCGACACAATGTCTGTCATTTGCAAAGAGTTCTTCGAGACTCTGGTTGAATGGTCCAATAAGTTCGAGACTTGTTCCTGCCATTGAGACGATTGTATGGAAGTCGTCTCACTTTCTGCCGATCTCCCGTAAGAAGCGACAACTTGATCAGGCTCTAGCGACCTTCCCACGAGTCAAAGGCATAAGAGATAGCGATCCGGTTTCAAGCGTAAAAAAGTCGTACTCATCATTCTTCAGCGCATGGTGTCGACGGTCAAAGTGATCGATAACTATTGACAAATCCGACATTTTCACAACTTTTCATGCCCAAACGAGTATTGAGTGTGGCTGCGGGTCCGTCTACGATGCGAGCCGATGTACTCGCTTTGATCACCACCTTGTGATGTGCCTTGTTGCAAGAGTGCTCGAGGACTAGTTTCGTATCTCGATTTCGGATCATCCCGGATTATCTCTACGTTGCATATCTAATCAGTTGCGCTTCTGGTAACGCGATCGGCTGACACAACGGGGCAAAGCGCAATAGCGCGATCGAATGGCAAGTTACGGAGTGGACATCGTAGCGGCCGCATCTAAGTATGCTGCCGATTTGACTGTGACTGAAGCAGAATGTCGTGGACTCGAGTCGCTCAGTTTCGATCTTCTTGCTGATCGAAGTACAGGATGTGGGATTGTTTACGGCAATTCGAGACTAGCGATCAGGAAGATGCGTGTCGATATCGACCGTAAGGTCTCGAAGTGCACTTCATGTGCCATAAAGCCATATGAAAACTCCGATGATGGCCGGTCCGTTATATCGTGCATAAATATTTGAGACTAATGACTGAGGATACAAAGATCCACCAGGGGTGAACGAGGAAGATTGGAACTTTGGTACTTTGTTGCAAGAGGTTTGTCGCGATTTGGCCAGCCGGAATCGAATGAAAGGTATGCGGATACACGAGGAAGAGTAGTTTGACTGACAGCGATCGGGTTGTTCGGCACTCTTCAGAAAGCTGCTAGTTCTCAACTTGCATCATATTGACGTGCATGCATTAGTGTGTAAGCGTGCTCGTTCACATGACACAACAGCCTTTCTCGCCGTCTTGAAGACTAGCGCTATCAAGGTCGTCGTCGCTCTTTGCCTTGTTGTCGGTCTCCGAACGCGCATCGCCTTCGTTGTCATCGTTGGTCTCCCGGGCATCTGCGCGTTGCTTCGTAATTACCTTTCGCAACCGTTCCACGTCGTGCATCGTGAGTACTGTGCTGTTGCGAAGCACGAGGTAGTCGTCGAAGCCAAACGTTTTGCAGCACAATTCCAGCTTACGTTGCTCGCCATCGTGCCCATCCATTCCCAATAGTTCACCCATTGTGCTCTGCATGAAGTGCGGCTGGTTACCAACCACTTCAATTTGCGCATTCAGAGCTCGGATTAGCCAAACCAATTCCGTCACCTCGGGCACGCTCGGATCGCCGTGGCGAAACGTCACAGCAGACGGGTAAAGCATATCGCCCTTTACGTTCGCAATCGGTAGTGAATACTTCTTGATCATGTCCAAGTCGTCAAACGGCACGGAAGTCTGTGGACCAAACATGATCGTCATCTCCTTAGCACCCCATACAATCTTTTGGTCACCAGCACCGCTAGAAGCGTTTCCAGGCGTAGTGCAGCTGACCTTGTGGTCCTTCCAGTGGTCACGCTGGCACGCTGCATCGCAGTAAAAAGTGCATTTGCAGCGCGTGCAGCGCTTAAGCTCCTTGCCAGGAGCAGCGCGTTTGTCACACTTTGCACATCGACGCAGCTTCGGATTTTCCATCAAAGCTAGTCGCTCGCCAGGAGATAGCACGCGACGCTCCAAATCTGCGCGCGTGTAAAATAACGCCATACCACGAATGTGGTCACCACATTCACCGCTTGGTCCACTGTCTGTGCGTGTGCTAATGACTGACGAGAAGACAGTGCCTCTACCAACGTGATTGCGGGCATCCAGACGCAGTTCCTCATCACCGACAGCATCAATCTGAATAGCCTGACGCTCGGCAAATCGGTTCCACGGCTCCAGTTTCGCGTATTGCTCGCAGGCTGAGTAGAAAGCCGTCAGTGCTTCAGGAGTCACACCAGAACCTGATATCAGTCCGGGCCGCTCACTCACTTCTGCCACGGATGCGAGGTCGTTTCGAATCAAGTGCTGCGATAACTCCCTGCCGGCGAAAACGTACACAACACATTAGAAAAGCACAACCTCTGTACGCACACGTGCACCAAACTCAACAACGCACTGGATGTAGGCGTCAATGCCGTCCGACTCAGACAGGTATGAGCACTCGATTCCCAACGCCGAGTAACTCTTCCGTAGCTGCCCAACAAAGTGCTTGTCTGGAAACACAAGCTTGTCCGGACGGTGCTGCGGTGTCCCTGTTGGCGGGTCTACCATCGCATGCAGTGTCAGGTCCAACACCGTCTGTGGCGATGGGTACACTTCCGGCGGGTCGCAAATCTTTTTGGACACAACTTGACCCAGCGGATACAAGTTGTTCACTAGCACACAGTATGGTCGACACGGCACAGCATCGCGTCCTTCCTCAGCTCCGGCACTAGAGGCCGACCAGACTCGAAGCTGACGCACGACAACCTGCCACACTTCAAGCTGTTTCTTCTCCAGCTTCCGATAACGTTCCACTTGCTTGGAGGTTATCAGCATCTCGGTGCTAATGACAATGTCGGCTGCAAAAGCACATACACACATGACAAATAGATAGATTGGCGTGAACCCGTGCAATTGATCGATGACCGACCACCGACGAGACACTCGAGCACGAACCATCGCCTTCGACGTCAAATTGCGTTGGCACGCGTGGGACGTCTTCAGTATCCGAGTCCGAGTCGTCCTGTACGTACAATGGCAACAGCGTATCAATCAACAAAGTACAGCATCACAAGACGTAGTACGGTGCGACTGTTCCAACAGAGGCAAATGTCGATCGAAAAAAGCGCCTTCAAAAAAGCAAAAGATAAGAGTCGAGATGGGTCTCGACAAGCCGTGCTTGATACAGAGGCACTGGCGTGTCCGAGTCAATGTAGTCACCTGAAACGCATTCCACTTTGCGTACTTCTTGGTCAAGAATTCGTCGCTCGACGTCATGGCGCACGTGCTGCGGCTTTCGACCTATGGCTTCAATCGGCAAATGACGGATCAAGTGGGTTCGCGAAAAATTCACTTAAGAACATCAACTTTCAAGTTTCACACTCCCCTCGACGACAAACAATAGTTTCTCAATGGCGTCGGTCGGTCGGTCGCACGAGCGTTCGACTCAGAACGGAGACGCGGCCAACCGACGCATCTGATTCGTCGATACTCGTCGTCGATGATCCACATGCCGCCCGACCTTGACGCGCTCCAGACGCAGCGCCACGCGCTGCTGGCAGCGCACACAGCCGCGAGCGACCGCACCGCGCAGCAGGAAATCGAGCAGCAGCTGCACCGTCTCTCGGAAGAGCTGGAGCTGGTGGCTGCGGCGCCGTCTCGAGAGACCGCGACGCTGTCGGCCGACTTTTACGCGAGCTATTTAGTGCTCGTGTTGCTCTCGGGCGACCTGAACGACGCGCGGTTTCTGTGGCGACGCATTACGACCGAGACAAAAGACGCGTCGGTAGAGCTCCGGAACGTCTGGGCCATTGGCAAGGCGCTGTGGCAGCGGTGAGACGTTAGGTGTGGTGGGTCCGAGAGGGGTACCAAGCGCGCTCGAGCCTGAGGGTGTGGTTGTTGTTTTGTTTTTTGGTTTAGAAACTTGGCGGCAGCGTTTGCTGCAATGGATTACGACTGGTCGCCGTTGTTGCAAGGACTTGTGCAAGCGCTCAAGCGTCAGTTGCTTGTTTTTGCGAGCACGAAGGGCGATGGATACGTGACGATACCTGACTCCAGATGATTGACTTTCTTGTTTTTTTGTGGCAATGCAGTGTCTACGCGTGAGGCCATGGCAGAGCTGCTGTGCCGCGCGTACTCGACCATTCCTGTGACCGACGTGGCGCTGGCGATGGGATTTGCTCGACACGAGGAGGCTGTGCAGTGTGCGCGTTCTTTCTTGTTTTTTGGTGCTGCTTGAATGGCTGACTGTCGATCTGACGGGTCCATCTTGTCATGCATCGTTGTCGTGGTACAGATTGTTTGTCGCTCGGTTGGGCCGTGTCGGAGGCAGGTCAATGGGTGTTGCCGAAACCGCTAGCAAACGTGCGACGTCGCCATTCGTCTGGGGTGGATATGGCTCAACTGGACACGTTGTCAAAGACAGTGTTGCATCTGGAACAAAACACAGTGGCCATTTTGCAGTGAGCGAGACAGGGCAAGAGCAATGGCACCAGATACGGTGACGTCCGGTACGTAAGGGGCCAAGTCGATATAATGCTCGTCAGCCAACAGCTCTTTGCTGAGACATTGAGTACTTCAGGTGCACCGATATGCGCCTGAAGTACCGAATGACTCAGCAATGGAAATGATCAAGTCAGTTTATTGCAAGAGTGCACAGTGTTATGGAGCAGCAGGAGGTGCTAGTGATCGTGGCGCAATCAGCAACGAGAGCAGTAGCAGCAGAAGCACGATAGCGACAGCCAAAGGGAAATAAATGCAGAGACAACGACGGCACAGATCGTTCAGTTTGCATCTGCGGTGATGGTAATGATGATGTTGAGGAGAAGCACATGTAGCAGGGTGAAGTTGCGCCGTCCTAGGCATTGCCGCATGGCACGCTGCACACTGGACCAGGAACACAACACTGTAGGACCATCAGGATCGTGTAACAAATGCAGACTCGCATGATGGCAACAATGCATCACTTGGCAGACGGTGAAGCATGCCGAAGTACGGCATAGAAGCATCTAGGATCAAATGCTGACAACAGGCCAGAAAGCAAAACGTTGATAGTGAACGACATTTCAGCGATCACGGTAACATCATGGATAGGATGGTCCGAAAAGCTAGTCAGTAATGACAGCGCGTTAGTTTCGCTACACTTTTGAAATGCTGCTGGTGCGTATCTTTCGTCATCCAAAGTGACAGCGATCTTGTGGGAAAAAGACATACACGTCTGCACCATCTGAATCTTCACATATGCTGCCGAGACGATGTCGTGTCGGTCGCGCGTTTCTTGTCCCAGGCAACCACATCGGCATAGTGAATATCGCCACCAAAGATGTCGAGCGCACTTCCGATCGACAGGTCGACCTACAAACGGTCCACAAGCACGCCCGGCAACAATTCAGAATTTGAACGACAAGTGCGGTAGTTGCAACAGCTCGTGCCGACTACCTTGCCGTTGCCAATGCGGTCCACGAAATCCAGATCATTCTAAAGCAGCAACACACAAACGTCCACAATATGTATCCTGCAACTTGTTCGGATTACAAAGCATCTCTGCCTACCAAGGAGCTAGCACCACCGGCGTATGTAACAGGAAGAGTCTTCCACTGCGCGAGCAGCTCGACAAGCTCTTGCTACAAGATAAACAGATACCGAACCACGACGTCAGCTACAAAACCTTTGTGTCGCACATCAGACATCTGTATGGTCATACCTGAATGCCGCACCGCTTGCCTTCAACGTCCACGGCATGCACTAGAAACTCATCGCAATATGCAGCAAGACGGCGAAACAACGCCTCGCTGCAGTCATAAGAAGCAGCCAAAACGAATCGCGACATTAGCGTCAGTACCGCACAGACTCTATCCTTGCGACCAGACGCACTCGATCGCCGTCGTCGTAAACTTCTGCCATCGATCAGTCACGACGTAAAACTTGTTGTCTTCTTCCCTCTTGCGACAGCTCAAGTCCAGCACCAAACGTTCCTTGCCCACGAGTTGCTTGAGTGTTTCTAGCCGATCAAAGTCGATCTGGCCTTCACGAAATACGTAAGACGTGACGATCACGTGACTCGCACCCTTTTCTACAAAAAACTGGCAATTCTCTGCAGTGATGCCTCCTAGCACAACAGAAAGCAGCAAACGGGACGTGGTCAGCCATTCAAAAAAGAAAGTCACGATTGACGACATCCTCAGTTCTTTTTGATATCCATTCTGACCGCCCACTTGGAGTCTTCCTGGATATGCCTGCAGAGCTTCCAACGCTGCCTTCGTGTTGGCTTCCGACGTGCCCAACATGATCACATGACCCCCCACAAGTCCATCTCGCTTGTACATTCTGTAGTATGTACACAATAGCAGTATGAAAAAGCGTTGATCCGAACAGATTGCATGCAAACAAAACGATTTTTTCCTGCCAAAAAGGAACACAAGCGGCGCCACTGGCGACTGCGTGACGTACCGTGCAAAGTCTCCAGCACTCTGAGAAGACACGAAGTTCGTCACGGGGTCATTGCTGGCATCGTCGGTGAGCGTAGAGCCCACGATCTGCTTTACCGCACCCGCGTGGAGGTCAATGCATGGCCGGAAGCGCATAGTGGTGGTCACTGCTGGGGTTCGGAAGACTGACATACCAATTGGCACAAAGATGGCTACAGTATGGGTTTACAGAGGGTATAGCTACCAACGGATCGACACATGCAGTTTGGGATACGCATCAGCAGAGTGTCATGTTGGACGCGGTGTAAGTTACAGCAATTGATACCAACCAATTTGGCTACAAACTTCAAGGGCTGTCAAGAATAGGCACATGTGTCTCCCTCTCTTCCTTTCTCTCTCTCTCTCTCTCTCTCTCTCTCTCTCTCTCTCTCTCTCTCTCTCTCTCTCTCTCTCTCTCTCTCTCTCTCTCTCTCTCTGTGAATTGGTCCTTCATCTGGTGCTAGTGGTTACGAAGAAGTGTCGTTCTTCCCATCCCGAGTCGCGCGAAGGGTTTTCACGGAGTCCCGAATAGCGGACGTCAATCTCCGAATCTGCATCCACGCAGTGTCCAACTTGGGACGCATCCAGTTGACTGCCAGGAGAGTATCAGCTGTCGGTAGGCATCCCCCATCTCACTCCGCACACGCGTCTTTCCGACGGCTACGTGGACCATCCCAACAAGCTGTCTCCTGCTCTGGCACAGGAACACCGTCGAGCAAATCCCCTCTTCTGTCAAAGCGTAATGATGGATTTCCATGGCAGCAATGAGAGCCGGCGGCTTTGGCCGGCTGTCCGGATATCGATCGCATCGAGCCGCTTCCGCGTCTTTCCACTTCGACCAGCAAGCCACGCGATGGGGCAGGATCGATTCCTTGAAGAGGTTATGTGTGGGTGTGTGCGTGTGTTTGTGCGAAACAGAGGCAGTGGATGGACCGTCCCCTCGAACCGGTCCTCCCTCACCTTCCATTGCCAAGGCAGTGCCCATCCCGTTGTGGAGTGCAGGGTACCGGTTGCAAGCGCAAGGGATGAGGCGGCGCGCCATTCGGTGGTCACCGCGGGGGACGCAGAAGTGTGCGACAGTGGGAGCGAGTCAGCAGCAGCGCAGCAACTGCAACTGCTACTTGGAAGATGATGTGGCGATGATTCTGGTCGTCCTGGTCGTTAGAGGAAGGTCTCTTTTGCTTGCAAAGGGCAGTCGGTCGATGCAGTGACCGTGCCCGGCAAATAGAACGAACAAGCAGGAGATCAAGTACTTGATGCAGCAGCAGGTCAATGGCACCTGCAGCGCAGACCAGGAAGGCTTGCGCCGCGTCTCATGGAAACTGCGCGTTGCTGCGCAATGTGGACAACTATCAAGTGGACGGAGGCGGCACTTTGTGAGGGCGTGAGGTGGCTGTCGAGCAGCTGCAGAGCTTTCGTCGCGACAAGAGAGAGAGAAAGAAAAAGAGAGAGAGGGGGGGGGGGGGGGGGAGAGAGAGAGAGAGAGAGAGAGAGAGAGAGAGAGAGAGAGGAGTGGCGGTCACGAGAACGTCCTTGGGTTACTAGACGTGGACTCGTTGCCGAGGAAGTAGGAAGTCGACAAGTGGTAGACATCACGACTCTCGTGGACCGCAAGTTCGTTCCGACGTTCGTTCAGCCGTACGTTGAGACGTCTGCGGGAGACGCGTTCGACAACGATAACTGATGACGTGCGTCCTGCCAGATTGAGCTCCACATGAATGTGTGCCAGTGACGAAACCGTGCGCGGTTGTCTATGCACAAACCTCAGCGTTGTTTGTTCGCTTGCAGCGCTCGATTGCACGTGTCTGTGGTACGGCGATTAGCGCAACAGAACAGAGGTGCATGCTTGGTTCCCGATTCGAGCGATGTCGCACACGGAACCAGCTCTCGAATCTACACGGAACGGTCTCTCTCACTCGTGGACGCTGCACAGTCCAGGGCGATGAATGCCCCTTCACCGTCTATTCTCGTGTCGGGCGTTGCATCCAGCCACTGTTGCTCTTCAAGGAGCCCAACTAATGAGACACCAGCCCCCACCACTGCCATCCACTCCTCAAGCCACATTACAAGCTCCGACACCACCAGCTTCCCCACAACAAGACCCAACATGCACTTGTCGCATCTGCCGCCATGCGTTCGATTCATCCGGGAGCTCGTCTTAGCGTTTACACTAGGGCAACACCAAGACTGCGAGCCCGTCTGCCAGCACTACTCCTCCTCCTTCGGTGGCGGAGGTCCACACGGCTGCAGCATCTTCTCCAGCATGTTGTACCGCACGCGGCCCATGGACTCGTTCTCGGCCACGGCAAAGTAGGCCAAGAGATCCGAGTGGCCCACATGGGACGCCAGCGTGTCACGGTGCTGATTCACGGTCCACTCACTGCCATCGCAGCACATCACAAAACAGCCACAATGTATAGAGCGCGTATACACGGGTGGGTTATACCAATGTTAGTATGTCAAGACCAGCACAACGGCGTCGCCTGCGATCGAACGCGCACAATTTCGTCGTGTCCGCGTGGCCCGTGCCGACGTATTTGGCCTGCAAGTGCTCCCACTGGCGGTTGATGTTGAAGCGGTCCGCTGCCTGCGCCATAGAAAGCCACAGGGGAGAGGCGCGTGTTACGACGGCGTAGACATTCCAAGAAGGCAGCAGCAGCAGCAGGTCGACGTACCATTGTGCCCGACCCCGTGCTTTGGTAATTGTTCGGATCGAATATTGACAATGAAATATCCCGTTAGAACGAGTGGTGGCATCGATGGCGCCAGTCTTTGCCGCGCAAATGTCGACAATAGCAAAAAAGTCGCGCGTGGCGTTCCTCGTCTGCCTCTTCCAAGTCAGTGTGGTCGACCACCTGCAGATGGCACTGCCGTCTTTATCGCTTGACGTGTGTCTAGCGAGCTACGACAAACGGTGCGGCGGGTCGAGCCATTGCCCGATGCCAGTGCTCGCAATGCTGCAATTGACTCATCGCGTCGCCTCGATGCCGTACAAATGGACACCACGTCGAGACTTTCGCCATTCACAGCGTCGGCGCTCACGTCGGCGTTTGATTGTAACGCGCTGCATATTGACGCAGCGCAAACGAGCCGGCGGGTTCTTGCGGCAGACGTCCTCGCGTGGCTAGCAGAAAGGCCCGTCACATTTCGTCATGATGCGCATCAGCGGGTTCCTGTTGACTACGTGACTACGAAGAGGCTCAGTGCTGTTGTCGATAGACGTAACGCCCGCGTCAACGTGAGCTCGTGTCGTACGTGGTAGGGATCTACGAAGAAGAAGCAGGCGGCACGGCACGCGTGGCCTTGACGCGACATGTGCTTTCTACGCACAGACATAAACACACACACACACGCACACGTGCGCTGCAGAGCTTATCTCCGTGGCGCCAAAGCCGTGTTGTTGTCTCAGCTGACCAAGCAAGTACCGCCACTTGTGCGGAGAGCAGATATACCGAGACTTCCAGCTCGCTGGGTCTCTTTGGAAAGGCCCGGCAATCAGGGTACAGTCGTCTGGCTTTCCAGGCTCGAGTGAGGGCCCTGCAGACTCAGCAGGTCCGGTTTCCTGAGCGCCCTGCTGATAATGACGATACGGAGGACACTGCGCTGTGTGCTACAGCTTGTCAGGAGGGAAAGGCCTGGGCTCTGTCTCTGCGTTCTCCAGCGCCGGGCCAGTCGAGCAAACTCAAGGGCAACAAAGCGTAGAGGATCGAGTCCCCCCGAGCATGGACTTGACGAGAAACAAGGGACGAGCCGCAATGTGGCGGTGATCACCCGCCGAGCTGAGAGAGGCAGAGAGAGGGCGGGGCCCCTTTGAACGCACTCGAAAAACATTGACGTGCACCAAGAATCTTGGTGGACGGACGAGTAGACCAGCACGTCCCTTTTTGCACGTTTGTTTGTCTGCAACCAGTAGCAGCAGGGGCAAAACCCACGAGTTGACAGAATGAGACAGACATACCCCGTAGGTCCGTTACATCGGGCTTGACATGCATGCACGCAACGTGCGGCAAGGAAGACAACTACCGTCGTGGTGAAACTTGGTCTGCTGGCCGCTTGGCTGCGACAACGTCTCGAAGGGACAAGTACGTGTCTTCTACACGCTTGTCTGTCTGCACCACGTGCTAACCAACAAACCTACAAACGTACAGGCAAATAGACAAATATACAGGCAAACAAACATACATACAGGCACACATACAGGCCAACAAACATACATACAGGCAAACGTTCATTGATACATACATGCAAAGCAGCTTCTGCGTGCCGACCCGCCCCCCCTTTCTATCCTTTTGAGGTACGAGACGCACAGCAAAGAGGTGACGCGTTCAGCCTTGACTTTCTATGTGCGTCGCGATCCAACTAGGAACCCGAGACCTCCCTGGCTGCGTTTACTGTCGTTCTGGGGTCGGGATCGAACGCTACCTGGTCTCTGGCCAGGCTCTTGCTGACGTATGTACACCCTTCGGCTAGAGCCTGGCCAGAGCAGGCTGGCCCCGACAAGACACTACTACCGTCACCTACCATCGCGAGGCAGTTAGCTGCCGCGATTGATACCTACTACCGCGTCGTACAGAAACTGCGTCGGTCAGCCCGACAAGTGACGTCAACTGCACCTGCGTGCGTGGCCACGCAACAAGCGAGTGAAGTGACGGCATTACCTCTGGCCGTATGCCTGAAGCACTATAGTGTCGATATTTAGGTCGTTCTCGACACTCGCTGTAAACCAAAGGATACTTTTTTTCCATAGGAACCACCAGCAGCAGCAGCACAGTGAGCGCAAGGAGGCCACACGTCAATGTATCTATTGTACAATAAGTCCCTACGATCGAACTACCCAAAGTCTCTCTCTCTCTCTCTCTCACACTCTTTCTCTACTTCTTCTTCTCGGCAGTTCACTTGCACGCGCGCGTACGCTTCCGCTCGTGCTTTAGTTTGTTGTTCCTTTTCCTTCCGCAGTAACGAAACCTCGCGGGGTGTAGTGTCCCCAGCCAGCTCAGTCGCATCGGTACCCCCTTTGTGTCCCCCTCCTGTCTGTCCGACCTTATAGCTAGCAGCTCAGCCAGCCAGTCAGTCCGCCAGCACACGGTGAGTAAAACGAGCCCTTTGTACTTATCAACTTGCTTATCAACCAACTCCTCCGCACCCCACCCCACCCCACCCCACTACCGACCAACCGACCGACTACTACACGCGCTTGCTTGCTTCCACTGGCAGCAACGACGCAGTCGGCGCTCTCTATTGTTAAACACACACGCAAATTTCCGCCCGCTTGGTTCGCGTCCCCGTGCGCGTGGACTGGCCACGCTCCGCAGGCGACTCTTCTTATAGTAGTAGTAGTTCCACGTATTGTACTGCTCAGCAGCAGCCCTCTCCCCTCCTCGTGCCCTGCTACTGCAGTCCTTCTCTTCGTTCTGCAGCTGCAACTCCATAATGGGTCCCTAGAGTCGTCTTCCCGGGGCACGCGCTCGCTGCTGAGACGTCCCTATCTAGCTAGGCGTGCCCACGGCCGCTACCGCCGTGGACACGCACCGAGCACTGCTGACCGCCGGCTTACGTGGTCAGGAACTCTGGCAGTTGAAACGACTCGGCACAGTCGTTCTCGGGGTCTTTGCTCCGCGTTTTCACTTGAATGTAGTCGGCCATCACGGCCTCGTAGCTATCGAGTCGCCGCGTGAGCTCACAGAAACAGCAGTCGCACTCTGGTGCGTGCGTCTCGGCGTCTTCCACCGACGCCATCTCTCGCGAGCTGTCAAACACGCACTCCATGAGCCGCGCGCGCCAGTCCTGGTAGATCTTGAGCCGCAACTGATGCGCTTCGACGCGCGACTCGGGGCTCATGCTCAGCGCCTTTTCGTTCACTTGCACGGAAAAGTCGTCCATGACGTTCAAGTACTGCTCGTGCAGCGTCTGGAGACTCGACAGCAGCTGGTCCTCCTCGGGCGACAGCGTCTCTTTCATCCCCACGAGGAAGTCGCGCACGTTCTTGGCAATTTCCATCCCGATAAACGCCGCGGCTTTGTCGTCTTGTACTTGTGGTAGTAGTAGGCGGTCGCTCTTGTGGCGGTTAACCGTCCGTTGCTTGCACTGTCGAGACCAGCAGCTCAAGAGGAGCGCAAGTGCGGCTGCGTGTCGATCGATGCAATTGCGCGCACGGTCACTGCTGCGTAGCACCTCAATTGCAGTCGCAGTCGCACTAGTGATAGCAACGGGGTCGACCACTGCGGACGCCCTGCGCGGGGGAAGGCGGGGCAACCAAAGGACTCTGTTGGCGGGTGTGGGTCGTGGCCAGCAAGATGGCAAATGGTACGTACGACGGGCCCGGCTGCTCGAGGCGGACGGTGGAGAAGTGGACCACGTCAACTGCCCCTGCAGGTCCCTTGGGCATTAAGATGGGAGGAGCGACCGCGGCGCTTAGTACAGTAGGGAGGCGAAGGTCGTAGTAGTAGTAGTAGTAGCACGCTTTTTATGGTCCTTATCGGTATTATTACTATTATTATTGTTGTTGTTGTTGTTGTTGTTGTTGTTGTCATTGTTGTTGTTATTGTTCTTCCTATTGCTATTTGTGAGGATTGTCGTCGTCGTGCTTCTCCTCCTCGAGTGGACCCCGAAGACCACCACAAGAACGAAAGATGGGCACGCACGCCCATTGTGGCCAGCCGCCTTGTAGCAACGAAAGGTACCGACCGCTCTGTCTCTTCCTCCTACACGATCGGGTCATTGAGATGGTCCGTCGAGGCCATTGTGATCATTCTCGGTAGTATCCGCGTTGTTGTTCGTAGCAGCTTCATTTTGGTATCCTCCTCCCCCTCGTCCTCCTCCCCCTCCTCTATGCCGTGGCCAAGCACACACTCATGCATTCAATTGTTTGCAACAGCTTTCTCTCGACAGCCAGTTGACGTATCGGAGAATGCACACCCATCTGCGCCTGCAAGCGACGTACGCAGTCAGCAATGGCCAGATGCTGCGCGTTTGTTTGTGTGTTTATGTGTGTGTGTGTGTGTGTGTTTGTTTGTTGGTCTTCTCCGTTGCCCACAGCCGGCAACGACTGCCACGGGGCCTTTGCTGCAGCCGCCCCGAAAGCCAAATATCACGATAGCGCGGCAGACAGGGCCGACCACGCGTCGGGGTTCTGCACGCGTACAGAAACCACGCACGCCTGCAGTCTTTTCTTTTCCACGCGTGCAAGAACGGGCCGCCTCGAGAGCGCGCGCGGCGGCCCACCGCGTAGCAACGGAGCAGGCGCGCGCGTCCCTGCCGCAAAACTATTACGCGCTGGCCCGACCCGTTTGCCCTCGCGCGCCGAGCAAAGCGCACGCGAGCTTCTTGTTCGATCTCCTCCCGACCGGCCCCCGCTCTCTACGCGCTTGACGCGGTCGAGCCGGCGATGCGGGCGTGGAAACGCCTCCTCTTCTACCGCTGCTCCTGCAATGACGGCAACCGGCCATGAAGTCTCTCTCTCTCTCTCGACACACACATACACACATGCATGTGTGTGTGTAGAGAGAGAGAGACGAAGAGAGCCTATTGACCCCACCTGCATTTCCAGATAGCTCCCTGGTCTAGGGGGTGCTCGTCTACCTCGTTTTCAAGTACGTACGGACGTGGGTCCAGGCCGAGCCGGCAGCTTGGATCTGTCGACTGGCAGATCGGTTTACGGCCAGATACTTCGCTAGTGAGCTAAGACTGCCGTCGCTGCTAATTGATTGTGCGTGCGGTCTCGGCGGCCATGGACCGATCGACGCGTGCAATGCGCCGTCGAAAGAGACACCACTTTGTGTTCTGGACTAGGCCACCGACGAGTCGTTCGTAGCGCACACTGGCAGCAGTCCGAACTACAACCACAACAACAACAATGACAATAACAACGACAACAACTATACCTTCTGCTGCCATGTGGTACGGTGCCACGTTGCGGCTGGACTTCGGTGGAATCCCAGTGTGCAAGCGAAGACGAACGTGTGCCCGCGTTCCCATCGGCGCGTTGCCCTTCTGAAGGCACTTTTGCATCACATGGACAGTGGGCTTTTGCGTGGACGACCCACCGCTCGATGACGCAGTGGCCGGACGAGCGACGAGGTGTGCCGCCTCGACAGCCCGTGCGTGTCGTAGGACCTTTGAGCAGGGAGGGGCAGTGCAGACTGAACGGCACGGGCAGCTGCGACCACGTGAGTAGACCCGCGAGCGATTGCCACAGAGGCTGCGCAGCGAGTGACGTGCGCGCGCGTCGACCCGCGGCGAAAGCGTGAAGCAAATCAGGCCGAGCGATCTGGTCGGGCTGGGGGTCCGATCATCAAGATGACGCCATTCCCGCTGGCAACCGCTGCGTGGTGCACGCCACGTGAAGGTTTGCACGCGCTGAAGGACACGAGCGCTGACCTCAGGGCGACTTTCGTCGCGCGTGAAGCGCCTCGGAACTCAACGTACCCATCCGAACGTCGAAACAGACGATCCGCTGTGTCGTCGTCGTCGTCGTCGTCGTCGTCGTCGTCGGTAGTAGTAGTAGTAGTAGTAGTAGTAGTAGTAGTAGTAGTAGTAGTAGTAGTAGTAGTAGTAGTAGTAGTTGTTGTTGTTGTTGTTGTTGTTGTTGTTGTTGTTGTTGTTGTTGTTGTTGTTGTTGTTGTTGTTGTTGTGTTGTGTGTGTGTGTGTGTGTGTGTGGGGGGGGGGGGGTTGTTGTTGTTGTTGTTGTTTGTTGGTGGTGGTGTTGTTGTTGTTGGTGGTGTTGTTGTTGCGAGTGATCTGTAGATTGGAAGGGCTCCCTTTGCATTGACTCGGCGTTTGTAGGATCGATCGGCGAACAGGTAGAGAGTACCTCTTGCGGGCTCGTGACTCGGTACGCCTCTATGTAGGTAGCTCCATTTCGCGTCTTAGTGAGCAAGTGCTCGGAGGTGAGTGGGTGGGTGGGTGGGTGGGGGTTCCTTGTGAGCCGGACCTTCGGTTGGCGTATCCTGAGTAAATGGGTGCATCATCTTTTGCACCCTGAGTCAGAGTGGGGGTTCCAACTAATATTCTCACGCAGAGGAAGCGAAGGCAGCGGTCTTGAGCAAGCCAGTGTGGCTGCGTCTGGATTGTCGAGCGTGGGTGGCGACGAGATATGACAACAAGGAGGAAACACCCGGCGTCTTCGTGCGCTCGCTCGGTCCTCTCACGTGTAATATCGAAGATTAGGTCGGCAAACACGCCTGTTTTAGGCTGTCGGACAGACGCTGGCGTCATGCGTCGACGGCAACGGCCATTCTCGTCAATCTTCTGCTGTCTCTTCAGTGTACCCTGGCAGCACTCCCGAGATGCGTTCGCCACCTGCGGACCGATGGCTCTGAAACCGTACCGAACGTGAAACTTGTCGCGCCTAACGGGGGGTGGTGGTGGTGTGCGTGGGGTGACGGCGCAGTAGTTGTAGTAGTGGGTGGAACCGGTGCTGCTGGTCGATGGGATACATATAGGTACAGACAGGTTAACGAGAGATCCCGCGCCGCCCTTGACGTTGAAGTGCAGCAATGCCGAGGAAGATTGACAGCAGTGCCCACAGAATGGCGTACGAGGAGTGTTGATGGTCCATTGAGCATGACAGAAGGAACAGTTGTTGCAAGAGTGAACGCGAACGACGAGACAAACAGACAAACAGACAGACGACAGACCAACACACAGCAGACAGACAGACAGACAACAACAGACAGACAGATAGACTCAGAGCGAGAGAGAGAGAGACGAGAGCTATTGTCTACGCCACTTGTGCCCACTGGGCCTGTCACGCATGTCCCATCCCCCTCGTAACGGGCGCCTTGCAGTCTGTCGACACCCGCCGTCCAGCGCAGAGGTCGGTCCATCCATTTCAGTACCTAGACGCATGAAACCATCCGAGCACTGGACCCACGCGGGCGTTAAACTTGACCAGATCATAGCGAGCAGTAGCAGTAGCAGTAGCAGTAGCAGTACCAGCAGTACGCGAATGTGTATGGATAACTGACGCTTATCATACTACTTGCAACGCCGACTCGTGACAGGCACGAGCTCAGCTGCGCTACGGCGGACGAGGAGCGCAATGAGTTCAGTCGAGCGACCGTCCAGAGCCAATCATACTGTACCTATCGTGGTTGTTGACGTTGTCGTTCTTGACGTTGTTGACGTTGGCGGTCTCAACTGCCACATGCACACACACACACACTGACGGACAGACACAGACAGCGAGATAGAGCTGCGGCCGTGATCAGGAGTTTCCAGGCCAAACAAAGCAGCCGGGAGCCACACTCGGCGGCCGGTACGTGCAGCTGGCAAATCGTGTGGCAAGCGCTCAGTCGCCTTGCAATCCGGCTTCACTGTGCGCCTCAGGGACTTTCTCCGTTGTGCAGGTGCAGCAGCTCAATACTTTTGAACTTCCCAGCGACCAACGAGCCGTCGACTATCTGCAGTCACCAGCAGTTGTATGGACTCGACCAGCGCCACGCGACGGCCGCCGCGTCCGTTGCCTGCACTGACTCCCGCGTCGTTCCGATCGAGCTCCTCGCCGGCTGCTGCCCCACGTAAACTCGAGCAGCTACAGAGACGGGAGCCTCGACACCACCACAGCAATGGCGCGAGTCGATCGCGTGCGCTGCCGCTCCGCACGACGTCGACGTGTTCGATCGCACACGTCTTCTTCAATCGACGACCGCTGGACTTGATCCGGCGCACGACGAGCTCAGTGCTCACGCAGTTGGATGAAAGTGCCCACCACTCTGCACGGACCGCAGCTGTGAGTGCACTGTCAGCTGTCTCGGACGACGATCGACCGTTGCGACCTCTCTGTCGTCTGCACAGTAGTGAGCAGACGGATCGAAGGCGACGAGAGCCGCTGCAGCACACGGACAACAAGAGGAACACGGACGAGCGGAGGCTTTTTTTGCAGCAAAGGCTGCAGCTGACAGGAGTGGAAAACGATGCACCGGTCGAGCAGGAGATGCTTTCGCCTTGTGCCAAAGTCGCTGCGGAGCAGAGGAAGCTGTCTGCAATGTGTCCACCGACGGGGAAGGAGTTGCTGCGCGATACGGAGAAAGCAGTCGAGCTCACGCTGCACGAACGTGTGGAGATTCAGCAGTACGACGAGGTCTACTTTGTAGCGACGCGTGCAGTCAAGCGAGCCCGTTGTCACGGTCGGATTCAGAACCTCATGCCAGTCCATGGAGACGATCGCGCAGTGGTAGCAGAGGACGAGCCGAGCGAGGACCTGTCGCCGCTATGCCACGACGGCTACGATGACCAGGACGGCGAGTATCTGGTCGTGATAGGCGACCACTTGGCGTTCCGGTACGAGGTGCAGAGTGCGTTGGGCCACGGAGCCTTTGGCCAAGTTGTCCGTTGTGTCGACCGCCGCACGTGCAAACAAGTGGCAGTGAAGATCATCCGCAATCGGCCAGCGCATCGTGACCAGGCGCTCATGGAGGTGCAGGTCTTGGCCCAGCTCGAGATTGCCGCAGCTGCAGCTTGTGACGAAGAGCAGCACGTGGTCCGTATGAAGGACCATTTCCACTTTCGCGGCCACGTGTGCCTTGTCTTTGGCGTGCTGGGCATGGACTTGTACCGTTATTTGTCCTTGCGGTCCTTCCGCGGGCTCTCCATGAATAGCGTGCGCACTGTCGGTGAACAACTGGCACATGCACTGACGTTTCTGAGGCAGCAAAAGGTCGTGCACTGCGATCTCAAGCCCGAGAACATCTTGTTGGATGCATCGGTCAAGGCCAACGACGCGCTCAGTGTGGATACTGTGGACCATGTGACGCTCATTGATTTCGGCAGCAGTTGTCTCGCCGGCGCTCCTATGGCCACGTACATCCAGAGCCGCTTCTATCGCAGCCCCGAAGTGCTGCTTGGTCACGCTTGCTCGGATGCGATTGACATGTGGAGTCTCGCGTGCATTCTGGTTGAACTGCTGACGGGGCATCCGATCTTTGCTGGCGAGAACGACCGCGAGCAATTCGCCTGCATCGTAGAGGTCCTGGATGTCCCTCCGGTCGATATGGTCCTCCAGGCAGAGCGACGTCTCACGTTCTTTGAGCAAGTCTCCACCCCTGTTGTCGATGTCGAAGCTGCAGAGTACGTGCTGAAGCCATTTGCAAACTCACGCGGACGTCGACGCCTGCCTGGTTCACGGAGCTTGGCTAGCGTAGTGATGACCGATGACTCGGACTTCTTGGGTTTCCTGGCGAGGTGCTTCGTCTGGGACCCCCGCGAGCGTCTTACTGCCGAGCAAGCGCTGGAGGAACCATGGATGCAACGATGAGCGGGCTTGCACGATCGAGACGACATACCTACGCGACAAGTTATGTTGACCAAAGTGTTCGCCACGACGCAAGTTTCCACCACGTGAGCATGTTATTGGAAGCATATTACGCGACGGGTACTTCCAGTCGACCTGCTGTCGTCGTTGCTTCCAAAGACGCGGGCGATGGTCGTAGATTGGCTGCAACAGCAGAGTCCGTGTACTCGGCAGCGCTCCACGTGTGCACACTCTTGTCCCATGAACCCGTGGCAAGCATCGGGTCGAGCTTCATGGCATCAGAGACAGGCGACACGGGCGTCGACTCGAACCAAGCCAGCGCACGAACGTAGTCTCGATGCGGCGCACGTCCCTCCTCACCAACACACAGTTCTCTGCTTGCAGTTCGGTCGGGCGAGAAGCCGTCCGACGTCACGAAAGCCTTGCCGTCGTCGCCCCCGGTCGCCAACAGGTCCTCATGGTACGGCGAGTACTTTACAACATGCACGGCTGCTTTGTGCGTCTCTCGTCGAGCCAGCGGCGTGTGCGGCGAGCGTACGTCAAAAGTACACACGCTACCGTCTTCCAGACCAACCGAGAAGACTGTGGACTGCGTCGGATGCCAGTCCACCGACAGCGCAGGATGAAGCGTCGATACCGCCAACGCTGCGCTGTAAGGACGACGTGCGTCCCACACCTGCACCGTCATGTCCTGCGATGCCGAACATAGTAGAGACGCATACGTCGGGTGCGTAGCCACGTCCCAAATCAAGTCCGTGTGGCCTTCAGCACACACACAAAAGAATGCACCCACAGTCATCAGTATCCAATCGCCTTGCCCCCGCCACGACCTCATGCCTATCCATCCATCCATCCATCGATGCATCCGTCGCACCTTCGAGCGTCGAGATTGTCTCGTCCGTCGCTCCAATATCCCACAGCTTCAGTCTGTACCCACATAGACCCAAACAGCACAGTACGACCACCAACAGGTACACGCAATCAACACGCAATCAACACCACCAACCTCACTGTTCCTTCCCACGTTCTCTCCATGTACCGTACGTCAGGTCCCAACTGCACGTCGCCAGCAGCGTCTCTGTCACACAAGAGACGCTCACGCCTGTCACCACATCGTCATGGCTGCGTCCGGTCGACAACGAGGTCACAGCTGCTGCTCCGTCGTCCCCCGTCCAGTCACTCGTCGCGCCAATCACTGGCTCGAACGTCCACGACGTCCCATCGGCTTGGGCCACTTTCGCCAGCCGCACGTCGCCGTCGTCACAGCCCAGCACCAGTGTGTCTTGATGTGCACCACACCAGTCCATTGCCCCCACGCCCGTGGCCAGCTGCAGCTCGCACACCGGATCGTACGGACGCGACGCCTTGTACAGCGTCACCTGACCGTTCCAGACGTTTCCCTCGAGCTGCGACTGCGCGACCGCTAGCAGCGACACCGCGTTCGATGGCGCGTGCGCTCCTTCGGCATCTCCCGCTGCCAATAGCGCGTAAGGCCGTGCGCGGGCAGCGACAGCGTCCACTTGCGCCGCCGACGAGACCGCAGGATGCGCCATGCGGGAGCTACGAGGCGAGACGACTGGTGATCGAGCGGCGCGCGATCTCATTGGCTGAAAACATGCACGGCCACCACGCACCTTTGCTGTCGCACGTTGAAGTCGGCTATGCACTTACGCGAAACGAATTGACGCGGCGAAAAAGCGCTTTTTAGGCGCTGGGGTGTTTTTGCGTCGGTTAAAAAACCTCCGTCGTTGCCCGTTAGGTTCGGGTCGTTGGGTTGCCGCCCTGTTTTTGTTCGTCTCCCTTCGCGGGGACGTGTCGACCGTGTCGCACACGGACAACCGATCCCACGCCCTTTCAGTATTAAGTTAGCGAGTCCCTGTTGCAGTTGCAGTCCCTGTTGTTGTTCCTGCTGCTGTTGATGTTTGAGCTGGTTGATGGACCTGTGCGGCCGTTGAAGACCCCCCATGGTGGACGATGGGGTTTCGCGGATATCCCCGTCCCACGTGCACCTGCCGCTCGCTCGGTAGCAACCACAGCACTTACGAATTCGCGCCCTCCTCGCCACTTCAACTGCTTTTCCCTTCGTTTTCGCTGACCGTTTGCCCCTTTACCAAGAATGCGAATGCCGACCAGTATGCCCAAGAGCTCGACCGACCGCGGCATGAAAGAAGCCGCGTCCGAGACGGTGGACGAGATGCTGACGGAGGCCGAACAGATGCGGCAGCGCAAGGACTTGGGCGATCACGGCCGTCGGACGCTGGACCAGATCCAAGAAGATGCCCGGAACCTCGGCGAGTATGCCCGGGGCAAGATGGAGCACATGAATGAAGTGATGCGCGAGGCGGCCACGTCGGCGCGGGAGTCGGCGGGACTGCCCGACGCGGCGCCTGTGCCCACGGACGCCATGAGCGACAAGGTCATGGACTCGCTCAAGACGGCGAGCGAGAAGCTGAGTGCCGAGATAAGCGACTTGGGGGAGCGCGTGGAGAGCGTCAGGGCCCGCGTCGCCGAGCAGGTCCATGCTGCTGGAGGCAAAGCAAAGGAGACGGTCAATGCTGCGGGCGACAAGGCCAAGGACACGATGCACGCGGCGAGCGACAAGGCCAAGGACACGTGGATTCAGAGCTCGGAAGCGGCCAAGAACGTGGGCGAGCGCGAGTATTGTTTGCCGCTGCCGACGGACCGCATTTGTGCGCGGCACGTGGCGATGGTGGGGCTGCCGTTGCTGGCGGTGTTTCTGCTCATGATGATGCGTCGTCGCTACCCCAAGAAGTGGCAGGCGAGCGTGGACAAGATGCGGACGCCGGGCAAGTCGCTGGCGCAGGAGATGCCATCGAGCGACCACCTCAAGTCGAAGCTGGAAGGGGCCGCGAACACGCTCGAAGGCAAGATTGAGTATGGCAAGCAGCGCGGGGGCGCTATGGTCGACCAGGTGCGCAGCCAGTTTGCCCAGGTCGAGAACAAGAAGGAGCAATAAGGAGGACGAGCGCGGCGGACGAGTCGTGGCGTTCGCATTGGCGTTGCAGCTGCGACTCGGGGTCTCGTCGAGAAGTGCTTGCATACATTTTTTTATCCGCTAACAAGTTGACATTACACTCTGCGCGTTAGTCGACTGCAATGTGGGGAACGAGACACGAGCACAGACAGGTGGGTGGGTAGGCGGGCACGTATTCATTCATGTAACCTTCTGCCGCTTGACAGTTTCAGCAGTAGCGGCAGTCCCCGCCGACTCGCTCTTGTCGTGCGTGACGCCATTTGCCGCCATCGGTCCTTCAAGCTTCCCCGCGCCCTCGTGCCCTGCCGCTCGTGCTGCAGCAGCCGCAGCTGCCACCGTGTTGTTCTCTAGCTTTTCAGCGATCTCCGGGGCGTGTTTCTTCATGAGTTGGATCAATATCGAGTCTACACGCGCCGAGTTTTCGCGCTGTTTTTCCATCTTCTCGTACTTTTGCTTGAGCTTCAGCTGCAGCTCTGCGCACATACAGATAGCAGCGACAATAGCATCAGTGTGTGTTGCGTGTGTAAGCGCGTGACCTCGACAACAGGTCACATGTGCCATCGAAAACAGGTCACATGTGCCATCTCAACTACGAACAACTCCACTCAAACCACAACTACTCCAGTAAGCCGTCCACACCGAGAGAAAAAACGTACGCTCGGACGGAATCACTGGCTCCTTCTTGTCCGGCGAGCTAAAGTCCCACGCGTACCCCTCGGTCGGGCTAAACCGTACCCCAGCGGCCAAGCCGTGGAACGCCTTGTTGATGCGGTAGCTGCACTTTTTCTAGCACACACCCAGTGGCACACACAAAGACACAGAGCTCGGTGACCCCTCTCGTGGCATATCGAGCAACATTGCCGCACGCGCAACATTGCCGCACGCGCAACATTGCCGCACGCGCAACATAACCACCTACGAGGCGAGACGTCAGCATGGCATGGATGTTCGGGGCCTGGTACACGGTCCCGTCCAGCACGTAGTAGACCGCGAGCGGCTCGACTTGCGTCCGACTGCTCCGTCGCTGCTTGCGGAGGACATAGAGCTGCTGGGGCAACTGCTTGGCTGCGTTCGGCAAGAGCTCGTACTCGACGCCGCGCAGGTTCTTGAGCTGGTCGAGCCCCAGGCGCTGCATCTTGAGGCGCTCGTTGTTGCACGAGCGGTCGTAGAACGGCGACAGCGCAAAGTAGTGCAGCACCGTCTGCGCGTTGAGTGGGAACGACTGGAGCCACACTGTGTCGCGGAACGACGCGTTGTAGTCGTCGGCATGCGCGGCGACCTCCATTGGGGAATACTCGCGGCGGCAAACGTCACGAAAGACGCGTCGGCGGCGGGTCCGAATGGGTTACGTTTGTTTGTTTGTTTGTTTGCTGGTTTGTTTGTTTGTTTGTTTGTTTGCTTGTCGGTTTGTTTGTTTGTTTGTTTGTTTGTTATTGCACCGTTTGCTGCTGCTGTTAGGTTGCCGGACTCGAGTTGCGCGTGGGTATGGTAGGGTAGGGTTTTGGGTCTGCTGTTACGTTGCTCGATCGACAGTTGTGTGGCATGGACCACTGGAGTGGGTACGTGACGCGTAATGGCTACAGGACGTCTGTTGGGTACACCTGACCACAGTGGACGTTTTTCGCTGGTCGACCGCCGCACAGCGAAAGAAGAGACATGAGCGCGTACTGCCGCGTGACGTACGAAACGGTGTTTGACGACGAATTGCGTGTGTTTGTGACGACGCAATTGATCAAATATGTGCTCTTTATGCGGGGCCAAGTGCCGTGGTACGTACGTCGTTTTGACTGTCATTAGTGTCTTTGTATGTGTTGTGGTCGTTGTGGATGGAATTGTTGTGTTGAAATTGTTATTGTTGTGAGTGTGTGTGGTTGAGGAACGACTGAGCTGATGCCACTCATTTGTGTATCTGTGTGCGCGTGTGTGTGTGCTGTTCGGGACTACTTCTGCAGTCTGTATGACGAGTTGCTGCACTTGGTCGAGCGCTTCCGACGCAAGCAGCACGTGGATCCACTAAAGATACAGAGGTCGCTGTTGGTTCTGGTTGAGCACTGACCGCGCGGTGGTTGGCAGGCAGGAGATGGAGTGTGGGTGGATGTTGACGTCCATGTGGCTGTTGTGCGCGGTGGCTTGTGGCTGCTGCTGGGGCTGTAGCAGGTTGCGAGTACGAGGAGGTCTCCAGGAGGCAGTCAAGTGCGTCGAGGCAGCGGAGCAGTTGTTTCGAGGTCACTTGGACGCTGTGTTTGCCACACAGGTCAAGAGAGGTGGGTGAGTGGATGGGTCGAGCGGCGCTTGACGTTGAGAGAAGAAGATGCATCATGTGGCCGACCGATCGATTGATCGTTGCTGACGTTGTCGAAACATGCAGTGGCGCTCGTGTTTGGATCGTCGACAATGAGTCCGCGCGAGGCGTTTATTGTCGACTTTCAAGAAGTTGTGACGGAGAAAAAGGATGCAGACGGGTGCGTGTCGAGCACTGCTCCCTCGCCACCACATCTTGACGTGACCGGTGCGTCGCTTGAAGACTCACCGACACGAATACTTCGTCCTGCACGAGCCCTGAGCAGAGAAAAGGTCATGCACCTGTGTGCTCAGAAGTGCATGCGGGCAGTATCTACGCATTTGATGCAGCATGTTTCGAGGTGAGACGATGATGGGTCATTTGCGGTAGCGGCCATGTGTATGCAGACAAACTTACATGCTAGACTGTGGTTGTGTGCTTGGTGCGTGGCTGCTTGTCCCAGTGCCTTGCCGGCAACGAAGCTGCATGTTGCTGTGCTCGCGAAGCGGCAGCCCACGCGTGTGGCAGGATTCATTCCGAAGCAGCACTTCAAGCTGCGACTGCCAAACGATAAGCGTGGAGTGCGTACACATTACGTGACGATATGCAGTAAAGCCGCTTGTGAGAATGATGAGTCCATGAGCACTGAAGCGTCTGCAGACACCAGCGACTCAGACATGCTCTGGTATGTGCTCGAACAGCCCATTCCGGGCTTTTCGGAGGTCATAAGCACTCGTAGTAGTGGTCAATAGGCACTGCCATTGTGACAGAGACGCTTTGCTGGGCGACTCACGAGACGAGAAGAAGTATCCGAAACCAAACTGAAGGCGAGCTGGGTGATGGGACACGACGGCATCTCACGAGGACGAAGGCGTCCGGCGCAATGCCAAAGCTCTCACAAAGCTCGTGTGACGTACCGGTGCTTTCCGACGAACGCGGATGCCGCAAACGTTGTCGTTGGCAGCACTTGCGTTGCGAACGACTCGATCGACTATGTGTCTGGCAGGTCTGTCAGAAGCACGACCAGATTCAATAAACATGTTGTATCAGTAACCGCAACATAGAGAGGGACTTCCCGGTCGTCCACGCTGCAAAGCAAAGCTTCACGTCAGTGAGCACAGGCGGGATCACCTCCTGAGCAAGTTGTTCATTGTAGCTACTGACTGCCTCAACAGCTCAGCTCAGCTCCACCAAAAGCTCGTGGCCCACAAAGTGCAGCGGACATGACGACAGGTAGACTCAACCTGTGGCTGAGCAGCAGCATCGACCTGTACAAACAACAACCTCGACGATCGTAGCGTGCAGTTTTAGTTTGCAAGAGCGTCGTGCACAGGAAGAAAGAGCTATTGGCACCGGTTAACCTCGACGACTAGGTGGGAGCTCGCGCGAAAGCGATCGCTGCACACGACTTGAACGATGTCCGGGGCCTACCGTGACAGCGCCAATACTTTGCATGCCAAGTACTTCCCACAGCAGCAATACAGTGCGTTCACATGAGCAGCCTCGCAGCAGCAGCAGCAGCAGCAGTCGCCTTCGTTCCTCCCTCATTGCCCGCCCACGAGCCAATCAATCAAGAAACCAGCAGACAAGTAGCAGCAGCATCTACCGACTCACCGCCACGCGGTCTCCGCTTCCATTCCAGCACCAAGAGACCGCCGTCTTCCCTCGTGGCACGTGCCTTCATGCTGGACGGTCCACCTTCTTCTTGTGACAGGGACTCGTCGTCGTCGCCGTCGTCGTCTTCTTCTTCGTCTCTGCTGGCTTTCCAGCGTCCGCCTGGCCATCTGCTGCACTGCTGATCTTCCCTCCCGGATAGAGCCAAATGAGCGACACTTGGACAATGCCCATCGTGAGCGCAAACAAGTTGGGGCACACGACCAGCAAGTCGCCCAAGAGCAGACCGTACGTGAACCAGAGCGAGCCGCCCACAATGTTCATGGCCGACATGCCCAATGGCAAACACGACGCGTCTTTGCGGCGCACAATGTGCTTCAGCTGCAGCAGCGGCGACGCCGCCGTCACGACCGACAGCACATTGGCCGGAATGCCCGTGAGCAGCTGCGCCTCTTCGGGCGAGCGGGTCGCGACCTGGTACACCAACAATAGCAGCACGAGCAGAGCAGACGACACCATCCGCACAGGCTGCGCCCGATTGGGCGCGTACTTGCAATAGATCAGCACGTAATAGGCCCCGAGCACGACGCCCAGCAGCGACGTGCCCCCCACCACGAGGTTGGCCGTCGTGTAGCCATACAGCGAGTAGATGATGCTCTGGATAAAGTAAAAGAAGAAGGGCGCAAACGGGAACTGTAACGTGCTCCGTGCGCGACGGATGGCTGCGATCGTGGGCCTGTACACAGCGGCACAATAGCGTTAGCGCTACAAGCAATTCAGCACCAACGGTTAGGTATGGGATAGAGATCCGAAGTATATAGCGCGTCGGCGCTATTTGAGATGGACATAACCCACAGCGCGCTTCTAGACGTACCACGGCGCGAGCGCGAACAAGACGGACGCGCACGTCGCGACGATTGGGACGGCTTTGATGGCGAGGAAATACGTCATGTAGGCAGCGTTGGTGACCGAGTCCATGGACATGGCGCTCGAGCGGCGACGTGGAGGTGGTCGGCGAGACGAACGGGGGGGGGAGTGCGTGCGTGCGTGCGTTTATGGGACGGTAACTGCTGGTGAAATAGCGTGCTGTAATTGAGTGCGAATGAACTGGATGGGCGCGTTCGTTTGAAGAAATGACACTTTCTTTCCATGGAGAGCGAGGGCTAAGTGGTCGGTTTAACGGGAGGTAGTGAGAGCGAGAAAGATGGGAAGGCAGCCGTGAGAAAAGCGGTTTTCTTTCGATGACAGAAGTTTATAGGTTGAGCTGAATTGGGAACGGACGCGGGAAAAACGAACGCACGCACGAAGGGTAGAAAAAAACGGGGGACGAAGCTCGAAACGTTGCCTCGGCAGCAACTTTGCCGGGTGCTTGTTGCGTGCAGTAGCTATAAGCGTACAATGTTGCAACGATTTGGTCCGTTGAACCCAATCACATACAAGCTCCTGGTTTGCGCCTCTCGTGTCTTTTTTTTCGATAACAAGCAAACACTAGAAAAAGGTTTTGGCTTCTCCGACGTGCACGACCTCTTTTGCCTTGAGACGCACCTCTGGTGACTGACAAGCCGGTCTTGTTTTCTTGTTGTCATAGTGTAGACTATTACTCGTGAAAGCCGTTGTCAAGCCTTTGTTTGCACGGGGGATCAGCTCCACGCGGATACATCACTGCTGGAAGTACCAGTAGCACAACGGGCATGTAACGGGGCACACCCTTGCGTGAACTTAACGCAAGGGTTTCGGGTGCCCCGACAGACGTACACGGGGCGAACGAGGAAGCGTAGGATAAGGATAAAGTAAAACTGTTATATTAATACAATTAAGTCTTATAACTACTGTCTCTCTGTTTGACTTAACTTAATTATGCTAATATAACTGAGTGTATGGTGACGTCTCGTCACCACTCATTGCGCGCGTCTTGCGGCGATTGGTGGATTGATGTCATCAAGATATCAACCAATGAACAGACTCTTTGGTCGACCCTTCAATATCACCACTTCGGTGATATTGTCTAAAGAATATTCAACTTCATATTCTTTATTGTCATTGTTTCTTTAAAGTGACAATTCCATATAACGGACTGCCCGTTACATCACCCCCCCCTTAACTGATAGTCACCGTGTGACTATCGAAAATCATGGCGGCCACCCGTTGGTCACCATTGGGACAGGGAGCACTTGTTGGGTCCGTTCCATTCACTTTCTGCTCGACCTCGCATAGTTAACATGTCTATGCGAGGTGACTCAAGACCTACACAGCCCGGTGCTGTGCCAGCTTCTGCGGCAGACGATTCGTCGTCTGCTGCTCCTTCTTCGCCTGCAGCAAGAGGTGCTGCAGGTGCACGCGGTACAGCACCGCGTGTGCATGATGACCCCGACATTGAGGTCATCTACTCTAGCGAGTCAGACGTGTCTGACTCGGGCAATGCTGCAGAGGCGTCTCGCTCACCGGCGACGCCTCAGTGTTCGCCAAGGCCACTGCCGAACGAACGGACTCGTGAGTTGCAAAACAGTCTGTTCGGCAGTGATGACGAATCTGATGATGAGTATGTTTGCTCATCACCGAAATCAGCTCGTGCTCCTTCGCACGAGCGACCTGACGATGGTGCAACCCATCGTCATACTGACAACCGTGGTACCAACAAAGGTACCACCGTGAAGCGTGATGAGCTGAATCCGTGGCGTTTGCCCGAACGGCTCATCAATGGCTTGTCTCACGAGACAAGCCAACACCATCGAATACCCTTATTCGATGAGACTGAGCTTCACGGCTTGGGTCCCAGCGCGAGCAACTTTCGCGCTGAAGAAGACTTTTATCTCGATGTCTTCCTCAGACATCGATGGTACAACAGCAACCAAAAGCGTGACAAAGCCTCGCTTTTGGATGCGTGGAATGCGTTCGTCCAAAACGTAAAGAATTTTGGACGGAAAGGGTGGCTCAAGAAACTTGAGGCGACACGCCTCAGGTTCGAAAAGCGAACGCCAACCGGTGCCAGGTACCGGTTGCACTGTTTGTCGAGTGAGGCAGGCATTCCTTGCCTCACATGGGGAGACCCTTGTGCGAGTTGTGTTGACAGCTCGCAGCGTGCACGTAGAGGCGTGTATTTCCTAAGTTCGCCCTGGGGAAAGGCACACATCTCGGCTGAGATGCGTGACGCGATTGCAAACTTTCAATCCGTCTACAAGCGCCTAGGGCGCGTGTTTACCGATGGACCCGAGGACTCATCGGATGGGTCTCGTCATACTGGCGGACGATACCTTCAACATCCATCAACAGCTGAGAGCGGAATTCCCAGCTGTTCCAAGAGGGTGGATACCCCCGCCACTGGACGAGGTAGCTCGTCCTTGATCCTGAATCGTCACGGTGATTCAAGATACGCTCCACTAGAAAGCGTTGATCACCGTGAGCATCCACCAAAGGATGTGGTGGAGGAGGAAAGACCTCCTTCAGATGATTCGGTTCACCATCTCGACCCTTACGAGATGGATCGCGCAATCGATAAATTGCGCGATGACTTGAAGCACGAGCGCTACCGGCGCTAAAATTTGACTGATACCTTGCGGAAGAACCGCAAGGATCACGAGGCTGATCGGGCGAGGGATCGCGCCGATTATGCCACAGCGCAGCTTCTGGTCGAGCGGGATGTCCGCTCCCTTTACGGCGAGCTGGCGACAGCTCGCGGGGAGATATCTCGGTTAAGTTCCGAGATATCATATCTGCGTGACCAGACGGATCGTCTGGAGCGCGAACGCAAGAACTTGATGGATGTTCTTGAACGTGGGGGCTATCTTCATCGGAAGAAGAAGGCTCGTACTGACAGTACGGCCTGATCCTCCCCGCGTAAAACGTAGGATGCGTGCGCATCTTACGTGGCAATTCGATTGTGTATGCATTGCCCTTGCGATGCAACACTCGAAATGGCCCGATGTACTTCGGCAGTAGTTTACTACTGCCTACACTAGTGACTGCATGTCCAGGTAAGTTTACCGTAGACAGTAGTACTAGGTCGTTAACTTTAAATGAAAGAACATTTGCTCTTCCATTCTTGTCTGCGTTCCTTTTCTGACGGTCCACCGCATTTGCGATGGCGTCCTGAACGAAACGGACTACCGCTTCTCGAGTCAGCAGGAAGTTCTCTGCTGACTCTTTGTTTTGTCTTTCAGTGCGCTTCGTGCGCACTGCTAAGAGATTGCTCTCTTCTTCAGCGAGGTTGTCTTCTTCCTCGCTGGCATAATCGTTGACGATGCTGAATATACCAGCATCGTCATCATCATCCGAGTAAATAATAGCGTCGTCGCTATTATTGAGGTGATCTTCTTCATCGATGTCGACCTGATCGACATCGGCATCATACGTGACGACGTTAGCGTCGACACGTGATGAGCAAGAGCCAAACGGTTTTTGCTCGAGCGAGTCCCCCCCCCCCTTATCCAAGAGTCACACTCTAGAAGGGTGGGCACACGTGGATGGCGTAGACCATTCACGTAAAACGGTGTGTGATGTGTGGAAGTATGCACCGAATTATTGATGGCGAATTCCACCATGGGTAGGAATTCGCTCCAACTCGGAAACGAGTGGACATATCCTCGAAGGATCTCTTCGAGGACACCGTTCGCACGTTCCGTCTGACCATCTGTTTCGGGATGGTCAGAAGTAGACATCTTCAATCGTGTTCCAAGAGACTGGAACACGGTTTGCCAAAATTACGCCGTGAACCGAGGGTCACGGTCGGATACGAGTTCACGGGGTAACCCGTGGAGTCTAAAGACCGTGTCTAGAAAGAAACGAGCACAACCTTGAGCCTTGATCGACTCAGGGACAGCAGCAAGATGCACCATCTTGCTGAATCGGTCAACAAACACAAGAATACCTTTATTCTTGTGAGCGTCTTCGGTAAAACCGAAGACGAAGTCCATTGAAACGGACTGCCAGCACTCTGTCGGAACAGGCAGAGGCTGCAATGGCGCACGGGATGAAGGACTAGGCTTCACCCGTTGACAAACCTCGCAAGCACGTATGTACTTGCGGACAAACTGATACTGGCGTGGCCAGTAAAAGTCACGACTTACCGTGAGGTAAGTCTTTTCTCTACCACGATGGCCACCTGTTGGGGCATCGTGACACTCATACATGATGCGTAAACGCAAATCATTATGAGCGGGTACGACGACACGAGGCGTGTCGTCGGCAACAGCTATATAGTACAGCAATCCGTTGCGTGTACTATACTGATCCGATGAGGATCGGTATAAAGCTGGTAATCCCTCATGGATTTACTGGATGGATTCACCAGATGATCCGTCAATCGCAGAAGATCCTTATCTTCCGCGTATGCCTTTCGTACGTCGTCAAGTAAACTTGACGACGGGACACTGACTGACAGTGTCGCAACAGTGGGCCTATCCTCACTGTTGATTTGTGCGTCCGGCTCGAAATCGGGCCGGCGCGAAAGCGCATCAGCGACGACATTGAGTCGTCCTGGTTTATACTCCACGGAGAAGTTACACTCCGCGAAGAAAGACAGCCACCTCTCCATCCTTTGCGAGAGGTGTGGGCTGTTTACGGCCGTGCGTAGTGACGCATGGTCCGTATAGACAACAAACGGTCTATCTCCCAAAAGATAGACGCGAAAATTAGCCAGTGCGTACTTCATGGCAAGGAGTTCCTTTTCATGCACTGGGTAATTACGCTCAGCTGCTTGCAGCTGACGCGACTGATAACAGATGACGCGCTCCGCGCCATCTGCATCGAACTGCATTAACGTACAGCCGATTGCAAAATCGCTGGCGTCACAGACCACATGAAATGGTCTGTCCTGATCTGCAATCGCCAAGATCGGCGATTGCATCAATCTTTGCTTGATACCCTCGAAGGAACGCTGACACTCAGCTATCCATGACCACTTGACATTTTTCTTGAGCAAGCAAGAAAGATGAACAGTCATCTCGGCGTAGTTGCGCGAGTACTTGTGCAAGTACGCCGCTAGACCA